TTGTTTTCTTTTCTTTTCTTTTCTTTTCTTTTCTTTTCTTTTCTTTTCTTTTCTTTTCATCCATTCAGCACCAAGATAGGCCAGATGCCTTAACTTGCCCTTCTGTGCTGTGGGTTTATTTTTTTCTCTCTGAAGGTCCGGCTTTGATAGAAGGTTCGCATCTGAATGCCTGCATTTAGCAGGCACTGGACCTGATAGGCAGCCCCCCTGGACTCAAAACATAACGTCAGAGTCTCCAGGGACCAGTAAAAGGGTCCAGAATAGCAACTGGTCTTCTTCCCAGGGTTTTTCTGTTTATTTTTGAATAAACAGAAAAGTGCTCTGCGTGCACTTCCTATGACATTAGATCAGCAACGGTTTAAACATTCTTATATTTGGGGGCCTATCATCTGGCATTTGAGTTGTTGACTTCAGAAGATCGTTCCAGAAAAGCACTCTTATGTGAAAACACATAAGAGTTTTCAAACAGGGGAATGCCCCTCTTGACCTGTGCTCTAAACATGCGTCGTCTGCAAGCTCCAGCTGTGGGGATCTTTCCAGAAGTGTGTGGGCAGGGACCCCCACTTTAAGGGGTGAAATGATACTTAACGAGACAGATAGGAGGAGAGCTAAGGCTCTAGGATCTGCCTGCGGCCAACTTGAGCTTGGGCCTTGGTACATAGGTCCCTGGGCCCCTGAGCACTGCCGGTGTGTCTCCAAAACAACAAAGTAGTTTTTTTTAAAAAAAATAATTTTGGGGGCTGGAGTGATAGCACAGCGGGTAGGGTGTTTGCCTTGCACGCGGCCGACCTGAATTTTATTCCCAGCATCCCATATGGTCCCCTGAGCACCGCCAGGGGTAATTCCTGAGTGCAGAGCCAGGAGTAACCCCTGTGCATCGCCGGGTGTGACCCAAAAAGCAAAATAATAATAATAATAATAATAATTTTGGCGGGGCTGGAGTGATAGCACAGCAGGTAGGGCGTTTGCCTTGCACGCAGCCAACATGGCCGACACAGGTTCGATTCCCAGCGTCCCATACAGTCCCCCGAGCACCGCCAGGAGTAATTCCTGAGTGCATGAGCCAGGAGTAACCCCGGAGCATTGCTGGGTGTGACCCAAAAATAAAAAAAAAATCAATAAAATAAATAATTTGGTTTTTTTTTTGTTATTTGTTTAGTTTTTGCTTTTTGGGCCCCACCCAGCTATGCTCAGGGGTTACTTCTGACTCTGCGCTCAGAAATTACTCCTGGCAGTGCTCTGGGGACCATATGGGATGCCGAGGATTGAACCCGGGTCAGCCGTGTGCAAGGCCAACGCCCTACCCACTGTACTATCACTCCAGCTCCACAGCAAAAAAAGTTAACTGAAGTGGCAGTAACCCGCTGTGATATTTCTCCCTCCATATTCAGAGCAGAGCACCGTGCCACTAAATTGACCTTAGTGGCCAGTGGGGACCCTGGGTGTGGATGGATGCAGAGGGGCTCCTTTGGGGCTGTGTGGAGCTGCAGCTAGTCCTAGTACACCTCCCCCCCCCGCCCCCGCCAAAAAAAGGGGAGAAGATGCAGGAAAAGAGAAAGCCTGATAAGGCCCCACAGAGCTCTGCTTCCTGCCACGCAGGTCAACAAAAGTGCCGTTATCTGCCCTCATCAGTCCCGAGTTGACTGTTCGCAAAGTTCAGGTGCTTGTCCTTACCAGCCCGTGTGTGGAGGTGGGGAAGGTGCTGACCAGGCAGCTCTGAAACTGGACTTTGAGGGGCTGGAGAGATAGCACAGCGGGGAGGGCGTTTGCTTTGCACGCGGCCAACCCGGGATCGATTCCCAGCATCCCATATGGTCCCCTGAGCAGCGCCAGGAGTGACTCCTGAGTGCAGAGCCAGGAGCAACCCCTGTGCATTGCCAGGTGGGACCCAAAAAGCAAAAAATAAATACATAAAACTGGACTTTGAGACTAAGGAAGTGAGAGGCCAGTTGGCTGCCCCACCAAGGAGAGCCCAGTCCTGCCCCTCCCCGGCTTGGCTGAGGCGCTGGATTTTCACTCCTGCAGATGGGAATCCTGGCTCTGTGAGGTACTGCAGCCAGCCAGGGTTACCTGGCAGAAAGGCATTTGCCAGGCTGCTTTCACGGAATCCCGGGGAGCAGGTCAGAGACACTGAGATGCTGCAAATGGCCCCCGCGACCACATTTGGCTTCTCATCAGAAAGGCTGGTGTAGAAACCCGCTCGAGATCCACTGATAAGGGCCAGGGCTGCACTGATACAGAGCTGGTGAGGGCGGGGAAGGGATGGGAACCCCCCACACTTTCCCAGAACTAACAGGCCAAGGGGCGAGCTTTCACCAGCTTCTCAGTCTCTTCCAAGAAATAGACCAGTGGGGACAGGTTTATGTCATCACAGCCAGCTCTGGTTCTCCTGCCTCGGCTTGGTGTCTGTGGAAACAGGCACCCCCCCCTCGTTCCTCTCTTGTGGGGTACGTGTGTCAGGAGTGACGGGAAAGACAGCGTGCTTGCTTGGATGAACCTGCAGTTCCAAGTCAGTTGTCCTGGGCATCTGGGCAAGGAGGCGGTTCTAGAAGCGCCCAGAGCCAGCCTCTGTGAGGCCTGTATGGTTTTTTTTTTTTTTTTTTTTTTTTTTTTGCTTTTTTTGGGTCACACCTAGTGTTGCACAGGGGTTACTCCTGGCTCATGCACTCAGGAATTACTCCTGGCGGTGCTTGGGGGACCATATGGGATTCTGGGAGTCGAACCTGGGTCCACTGTGTGCAAGGCAAACGCCCTACCCGCTGTGCTATTGCTCCAGCCCCCCTTTTTTCAGTTTTGGGGCCACACCTGATGATGGGGTTACTCCTGGCTCTGCACTCAGGAATTACTCCTGTTGGTACTTGGGGGACCATAGGGGGTGCCAGGGAGCGAACCCCGGCAGGCCACATGCAAAGCAAGTGTCTTCCCTGCTATACTCTCTTTCTCTCTGGCGTGCCTGTATCTTCTGAGCTTGAGGGATCAGGATGGGGGAGAAGGAAGAATTGAGTCCCGAGAGCAGATTGCCCAGCGCTTCCCCCAGCGGGGCTGGGAGTCCTCCCTCACTTCCCCCTGACCCTGGGAGAAAGTTCCAGAAGGCCCCAAGGCGGCAGAAAGTCGAAGGGGACTTTCCAGCCACAACCGGGAAGACACGGCCAGAGTAAGGACTCCATGACCACCACCCACCACAAATGCCCAATCTTCCTGTCCCCGTAACCCTGAAGGAGACATATAAAATTTAAAAAATAATTTTTTTCAGCATGCATCTCCCCTCCTGGGAGGATCCTCCCAACACCCTTTATTTGGTGCTCCCTTCTCTATCTGAGCTGCCTTTACCCCTAGAGTGTGCGACTGGCCTCCAAGCTATGGAGTAAACCTCCTGATACTTAATTCGGCTCTTCTTGGGTGTTAGTATCCTATTTTGCTATTTTGTTACTTTATGTTCCCCAGATGAATGCAGTCTTTCTATGTCTATCCCTCTCTTTCTGACTCATTTCGCTTAACATGATACTTTCCAGGTAGTACCACTTGTAAGTAAATTTCATGACTTATCTTTTCTAACATCTACATAGTATTCCATTGTGTAGATGTACTAAAGTTTCTTTAACCAGTCATCTGTTCTCGGGCACTCAGGTTTTTTCCAGATTCTGGCTATTGTAAACAGTGCTGCAATGAACAAACAAGTGCAGATGTCACTTCAACTGTACTTTTTGCCTCTCTGTGATATTTAAATAAATTTAAAATAAAAAAAATATTAAAAAAATTTAAAACCACTGAGATACACAGCTGTTCATGACTGAGTTTTGATCATCCAGTGTTCCAACACCTGTCTCTTCACCAGTGTACATTCCCTATCACCAATGTCCCCAAGTTGCCCTCCCCCTCCCGCCCCCAGTCTGCCTCTAGAGCACACACTTTTCTCATTCCTTTTGGGCATTTTAGTTTGCAGTACACATACTGAAAAGTTGTCATATGTATCCGTTTACCACCTCTTTCCGGATTCAGTTCTTGTCCAGAATGACCATTGTCATAGTGGTCCCTTCTCTATCCTAACCAACCCCTACCACCCTACTTGTGATAAGCTTCCAACTGTGGGCCAGTCCTCGGGTGCAAGAAATACCCTGGGCCCTGTTCCTACTGTCCTTGTGTAATAGTCTCATCCTGTGCTTTTTATTAGGGTAGCGTATTGGCAGGAAATGCATGAATGAGGCATTTTTCCACCACCCCCCTGGCCTGACTCAAACCCAGACCCTACTGAGGCCAGCTCCCTATGCCCAGGCCAACAGATTCCTGAAGCCGAGCTCTGACTTGCCCTGACCCCTTCCCACCGTCCCCATGATGTCCCTCCAGATCATTCTGGAAAGTTCTGTGTCCGTGTGGTAGGCATGCAGATGAGGTCAGCGGCCTCCTCCACCCGCACATGTGCGGGAGGGAAGGAGGTGACGGTCAGAACTGTGTCCTTCGGGCCAGTTTTCGTTCTTCTGGCCTCTTTGGTGGACTTGGCTCTCCTGACCTAGCCCTTGGCAGCCGAGCTTTGAGGGAGCCTGTCTGGCTCCTGGGTCAGGTGACTGGGACTGGGCCCTGCCTTTGGGGGTGGGGGGGTGGGGTCACACCCGGCAATGCTCAGGGATTAAGTCCTGGCTCTGCACTCAGGAATTTCTCCTCGCGGTGTTCAGGGGACCATATGGGATGCTGGGAATTGAATCCAGGGCCAGCCGTGTGCAAGGCAAACGCCCTACCTGCTGTGCTATCGCTCCAGCCCCCCCCCCCCCCCCCCCGCTGCCTGTTGACCCCAAAGGTCACCTCTCCTTACAACAGGGCACACCTCAAAGTCATTCTGGGGTGACCATCCACCCGGGTGTCGCGTACAGAGGACTGGGGACTGGCCAGTCGGGGATGAGCAAGACACAGGTTTGCGAGAAATCCCGGGGTACAGTTCTGGTCCCACAAACAGCCTTGGCAGATCTGCTTTCTGGAGGTTTGAAATTCTTTATTGAAAATGGAATTCACCGCCCAGAGCCCCCCCAGAGCTTCTGGGCCCGGTGAAGGCCCCCAAGGACGCCAATGCCCAGGACCAGGGCAACAGCCACCAACAGCAGCAAAAGCCAGAGGGGAGGGCTCAAGTCGGGGTTCCTGGAGGAGCCTGTGAGAGAGACAGGACCAAGGACAGGGGACTGGCCAGGCCCCTTTGGGCCTTTCCACGCCAGCCCTTCCTGGTGCCCCCGGTGATCTGATAAGGGGGGCAGGTCTCTCCTGCGCTAGTTCCCCCTTGAGTGTGGTTCCGCTATCTCCTGCCACTGGAGGGGACCTGAGCGCCCCATTTTTCAACACACCAGGTGCGGGGGTGGGGCCCGCCTCTACCTGCAGGCTCTGGCGTCGGCTCCTGCCTGGAAGCATCCTCGAAGCCCACTGGCCCCAGAGAACTCACGATGTTTTGGGGTCTGGCCATGTCGTCGTGGGGTCCCGAGGAGCGGCGGCGTCCTACCCGGGGGTTGTGGTGGGGGGGGAGATGGAACGATGTTTGGCTGGGGGGGGGGGTGGTCTCCAGACCCTTGCAGCCCAGAAGCTCAGGTCTGTGGACTGAGGGAAGGGAGTGCCCCCCCTTCTCTCTCCTCCACCGCCCCCGACCCCATCCAGCTCAGACTCACTGTTATTCTCAGATTTGCAGAGGGGGGCACAGCCCTGGGGCCCCGGGTGGGAGGAGACGGAGGCACTGCAGAAGAAGTAAACCTGGGGCGGGGTGGGGGGTGGAGAGGCAGGGCATCACGACCACAGCCCGGGGGTGCATCTGCGCCACCCTCCCGAGGATTTGGAATTCGTGCCTGCCCCTCCTCGTGAGCCAGCAGCAAGGGCTGGGGGAGAGTCCTGCTTGCCTTTCACGTGGGTTCCATCCTTGGCATCCCAAGGTTCCTCACCCCAAGCCCGCCAGGATTTAAGCCTGGAGCACTGTTGTGTGTGACTCTCCCCCAGAGTTAAGAAAATTAAGATCACCAATGGGAAAGGCACCTCCCCTGCCTGAGCCCCTGGGGGAGGCTGGCTTTCTGTCCACCTGAGAGGGATGCAGCCTTGACTGGCAGCTGCCATCTCACCCTGCTGACCAGAGACAGGGACAGAGGGAAGAGTAGCCAGAGGCAGCGCCCCAAAGCGACAGAGGCAGGAGCGGGTCTGAGCCAGCACCCAGTGAGACCCCACCCATGTGTCTTCACCCCGCAGGGCGGGTTAGAGGATTGGAGAAGGACATGGCTGGGATGAGCACTGTAGCACTGTCCTCCCATTGTTCAATGATTTGCTTGAGTAGACATCAATAACCTCTCACAAACTGTGAGACTTGTTGTTACTGTGTTTGGCATATCGAATACGCCATGGGGAGCTTGCCAGGCTTTGCTGTGTGGGCGAGATACTCTTGGTAGCTCGCCAGGCTCTGAGAGGGGTGGAGGAATCGAACCCAGGTTGGTCATGTTGGCCGCATGCAAGGCAAATGCCTTACCCACTGTGCTATCGCTCCAGCCCTGGCTGGGATGAGTGTTCTGTTTCTATTTTGCTTTTTGGGTCACACCCAGCGATGCACAGGGGTTACTCCTGGCTCATGCACTCAGGAATTACTCCTAGCGGTGCTCGGGGGACCATATGGGATGCCGGGGATCGAACCCGGGTCAGCTGCATGCAAAGCAAATGCCCTGCCCGCTGTGCTCCAGCCCCTGGGATGAACATTAACCAGCCTAACAGCCAATGGGTGACCCCATGAGGGCCGTCCTGTCCACTGGAGCCAGAAGATGGCCAGAGCAGTGGGTACGAGTCACGAAAGATCCAGGCTCTGCGTTCCCTATCCTCAGCCCTTCAGCACAGGCCCATCAGCCTGGCACCACCGATCCAAGAACCCCTGAGGTGGCCCCCCAAATAGATCTGTGTGTTTCTGGAGGTGCTGCCTGCTTCCGAAGTTAGACCAGGGCGAGCAACCCTCGACACCTCTCCTATCTGGTGCAGGACCTCTCAGTGCCCAAATCTTCCCATCACCCTCTGGAGAAGGTGGCAAGGTCAGACATGTTCAAAGCAGAATTCTGTACAAAGTAACATAACAGAAGACTAAAAGCAAGTGAGAGGGAGAAGAGACCACTAAGTCAATGATGGTTGGAGGGATCGTCCAGGACGGTAGATGCGTGCTGAAAGTAAGACTATGGACCAAACATGATGGTTGCTTAGTGCCTATACTGAAAACCATGACACCCAAAAGGAGAGAGTAAGAGGGAATGTGTCTGTCACAGAGGCAGGGGGTGGAAAGGGGTAGGGGTGGTGGGAGGGACACTGGGAACACTGGTGGTGGAGAATGGGCACTGGTGGAGGGATGGGTACTAGAACATTGAAACGTAATCACGAACGTTTATAAATCTGTAACTATCTCATGGTTGGTTCATTAAAAAATAAAGCAGAATTCTGGGCTGGCACAGACTGGTTTGGGGGTTCTGGTTTCCACCCACAGCACCACTGTTTCACCCACACCATGAGGTGTCCACCTCTGGTGACTCTGGGGGGCTTATCCTTCACTGGGTGGGGGCACGACTGTTGAGGACCATGGGCGTCTCTTACCAGGCCTCTGAGCGCCCTCTCAGGGGTGGGATCCAGCAGGGCAAAGGTGGCGACGGTGAAACGCTGGTAGTGGCAAGGGAAGGGCAGTCCGGTCCCGTTCGTGGGCACCATTCGGGTCTGATAGCTGTCCCCTAAGAAAGGGCACCTGGGCAGGAGAGACATTGGGAAGTGGGGGGAACAGCATGGGGCCCAGGGGGTCTGAGGGGTGGTGCCTTCCCACTCACCCATGCAACAGTATGGGCCACTGGGGCTGCTGGAAGGGGCTGGCGCTGGGTGTGGCCCAGCAATGGTTCAGAGTCAGGACCAGGCTGGGGTCCGTCCTCTGCAGGAGCCGGACCTCCACGGGGACCGGCTGGCGGAGCAGCCGCACGATGGGGTAGTCCCTGTCCTCGAAGAAGGAGCTGAAGGTCTCATCTGCAGGGAAAGGGGATTCCTGAGCTTCAGGGCTGTGGGCCTGGGTCCGCCCACCTCCCTCCCCCACCCCACACACACTTCAGCGGGGCTGGGGGCTCCATACCCTTGGCGATCCGCAGCTCCAGATGCAGTGGGCCAGACTGGGTCACCGGGCCTGGGGGTGGTGGAGGGAAGACAGATGCCTGGATGGGCAGGAAGTCCTGGGCCTTGAAGATGCAGCGGACGAGAAGCCTGAAGTCCAGTGGGAAGGTCAGGAGAGAAGGTGGGTCAGCACAGCCCACTTGGTACAGCGGGCATGGCTCCTGCCTCACATGCCGCCCACTAGGGTCGATCCCTGGCACCTTATACGATCCCACCGAGTCTGGTAAGAGTGAGTGAACCCTGAACACAGAGTCAGGAGTCAAGCTTTTAAACCAAAAAGTATCCTCTCCAAAATGGGGTATTGACTTTGTTTTTTTGGGTGTTACTCCTGGTGGTGCTCAGGGGACCATATGGGATGCTGGGAATCTAACCCGGGTCGGCCACATGCAAGGCAAACACCCTACCCATTGTGCTGTCGCTCCAGCCTCAATGGAGTCAGAAGCAAGATTCCTACCAGCAGGGGTGGGGGTGGCGGGGCATTTTGCCCAGTGGCCACTCAGATATGTTCCCTGACCAAGCTACGGCCTGCCTCGGCTGCCCAGGGCTGGGTGGCCATTCCCTCCAAGGCCACAGCAGAAAGGGGGTGGCATGAAGGCCTCTTGGCACTGACCACTTGAGGGAGCCAGCACGTGGTTTGAGGCCTGTGCCAGGGTCCACATTGAAACAGCACCAAGGACACCCCAAGGTCATGGTAAACAGGGGGCGAGTGCCCTGGCCGCATCATCAGCCTGCACTTGCAACTGGCTGCCCTGGGGGGACTAGTGTCCCTCATGGACCCAGAAAGGACTCAGGCCTGGTATCCTCCAGGAGTGGCGCGACACCTTCCCTGGTGCTCCATTTCCTGAGTGCTCTGCCTTTGCCTCTTTGAGCCTGGAGCGATGTTCCAGATGGACAATGCAACTTGGCACTGCCCAGTGGGGGAGCCCTCCTACACTCCCCCCTGACCTCACCCATGGAGCTGTTAGTCTTAACGAGTTCCCCAGAACAGTTCTTAAATCCAAGGATAGGAGGGGGAGATATATTTGCACCCCCACACCCTGGTCCTAGCAGTACTTCCTGTTTGGAAACTAGAAGTTTGAGCCCCCGATACCTGCTGCTCAGGCCTCAGCCCCATGGCTGGAGTTGAGGGGAGCCCAGTGCTTCCTTGGCCCGGGTTCACATAACAGCTGTGTGTGGTGGGCTGCGTGGCCCCCACAATCAAAGGCAGGGCCCTTCAGTAGCTCCACATATGGGGGTACCACCTAACTCCCAGTCCAAAGGCCACTCTGCAGAGGGAGGTCTTCATCTGCCCCCAGTGCACGTGCATGCCCAAGGGCCCCCCATCTCATCTGTGGTTTCATAACCCGAACCTCAGACACAACTGGGCCAGGAAGGCCTTGCTTTCAGCTGGGTTTTTACTTTGGGGTCACACTCGGCGATGCTCAGGGGTCACTCCTAGTTCTGCACTCAAATGACTCCTGGCGATGCTCGGGGGACCCTCTGGGATGCCGGGGATTGAACCTGGGTCGGCCACATGCAAAGCAAACACCCGCCCTGCTGTGCTATCGCTCCAACCCCTCAGCTGGGTTTGAGCTCATTTCCGTGGGGGAGGGTCTCCAAGAACATTGGCTGTCTAGCTCAGCACTGCAGAACCCCTGCCAGAGGTGAGCGGATCCACACACGCTCTCGCACGGCCCACTGCCCCGGCAGAGCTCATGACTTTGATCAGCCAGATACAGCATGGCTGCAACCCCAGCCTGTCCCCAGATTCTGCCACACCCCTAGACCTCACCGGAAGGCGCCATCCCGAGTGATGGAGCCCTGGGGTCCTGTCTGCACGTCCTTATCGCTCACCAGCAGGTTCTCATAGATGAGCTGGTCACCCACCAGCTGAGGGAGGAGACAGTGGGGTGAGGCTGGCCCTGCCTGGGGCACCCCCGGGAGACCGGCCTTGCCCGCTGCCCCCCCCCCCTACCTGCAGGGTGGTGTTGCAGTGGGTGAGGGAGAAGCTGAAGACCAGGAAAGACTCAGTCTGCTGCACAGGGGGGCAGCTGTGGGGGGCACCGGCCAGGCGGATGCTGCCCAAGGTCACCCTGTGTGCCACGGCTGTATCCTGGGACACCACCAGGACCACACGACCGTCTGCAAAGCACTGGACCGTCTCTGGGGGAGGGGGGCAGAGACCAAAGGCTGGTGAGGTCTTGGGGGTTTCTGTCCATGAGGCACTGAGAGGGGGCATGAACCGGGGGGTGGTGGTGGAGGGCTGCTTCTGACTCCATTAAACTGGGGTTCAAGGGGCTGGAGCGATAGCACAGCGGGGAGGGCATTTGCCTTGCATTGCAGCCAACCTGGGTTCGATTCCCAGCATCCCACATGGTCCCTTGAGCACCACCAGGAGTAATTCCTGAGTGTGGAGCCAGGAGGAACCCCTGTGCATCGCTGAGTGTGACCCAAAAAAGCAGAAACAAAAAAACTGGGATTTGCTTGCCTTGAGACTGAGTTTTTGTTTTGTTTGTTTTTGGATTACACCTGACAGTGCTCATGGGGTTATTCCTGACTCTGCACTCAGGAATCACTCCTGGAGGTGCTCTGGGAACCCTATGGGATGCCGGGGATCAAACCAGGCTTGGCTACATGCAAGGCAAATGCTCTCCCCTCTGTACTATTGCTCCAGTCCCAGAGGAGACAGAGTCTGAAGTGGGGTCCCCCCGTTAATCAGAGACCAGACTGGCTCAGGAGAAGGGTATATGTTGGGGGGATGTTGGGAAGAGGTTGCTAGTTCTGGGGCATAACTGCTTAAGGCCAGCTGGAACATGAGGGGATCATGGTCTCGAAAGTTGCCCACAGTCCTTCCTGAGACATTCAGCATGAGGGTGGTGGTGGGGGGGTGTCCTCTACTCCAGGATCAGGGGCGCTGTAATACCTGTGTTGCCATAGTAACAGGGCACCACTCTGGTGTCGTCATAGCAACAGCCAGCTCGCTGACAGGCTTCCCGATTTGGGGTCTCCAGGCAGGGGATATGCCCTGAGGCCAGCTGACACTGCTTCTGGGTCTGATGGGTCCCTGAGGTGGGTAAGAGGGTGGGAGAAGCTTCTGGAGAGACTCCCAGTAAGATGAGAAGCAGGACCACTCCCTCCTGCTCCCCGCCACCCTCCACACACCCCCAAAGGCCCCAGACCCACGGAGAGGGTGCACGTACCTCCGTAGACTGGCCTGCCAACATCCCAGCCGGCCTGGGTGCCCCCCTGGGGTGAAGGTGGGCTGGGGTGGGTGGGTCCAGGTTCTGGGGACCTGGAGGCTGGGAGAAGGCGGGGCTCCGCGGCTGGAAGGCTGGGGGAGGGCAGCCCAGAGGTGGGCTGGGGGGGCGGGGTGGACGGGCCCGAGGAGGCGGGGGACAGTGTCCGATGCAGATTGAGCGCCCAGCTGAAGTCGGGCTTGGGGCAGGTCAGCGTGATGTCACGTGAATCTGCCACATGGCCGTCGGGCAGCACTGTCTCCACGAACACCCTCAGGCGCCAGTGACTGTCCTGGGGGTGGGGGGACAGGAGCGGCCAGGTGAGGTCCCCGGGCTGCTGGCCTTTCCCCGCCCCAAGCTGCTCGTGAGTCCCACCTTCTCCAGCACGTGGCAGCCTCTGTAGTCCGCGGAGAAGACCACCGGTCCCTGGGGCCTGGACGTGACCCAGTGGTAGCAGATGGAGCAGTTGTTCACCTCAAACCGGTTCCCAAATTCATCTGCGGGGAGGGGGTTCAGGGTGTGGGAGCCCGATCCCCCTCCCTACTCAGGAAAATGTGTGTATCCGAGCTTAGCTCGCTGTGTGACCTTGGGCAAGGCCCTTTTCCCTCGCTGGTCTGTGTCCACCTCCGCAGAGAATAGTGTCCCCTGCGGCCCGCCCAGAGCAGGTGAAGTTTGGAAGAGAGAAGACAGAGGTGGATAAGGCAGAAGAACTCAAGAGTTCGAGAACTTTCTCCCCTACCCTGGGCCCGGGGGGTGGACCTGAGCTTTTTGTCGGCTTAATTGGCCATTACGATCACCTGGAGGTACCTGGGTGGGGTCTGATGGGTCCCTGAGGTGGGTGAGGGTGCAGAGCCAGGAGTAACCCCATGTTCACCTGTTATGGCCCCCCCATCAGAAGCCGGGGTATCCTTTGGGTGCGCCCCCACTTCCTATGCTACTAGCTCAAGCCAGAGGGCAAAGTTGAGGAGGGGTTTGGGGAGACACTTTTCTTACAGGTTCGGGTTCAGCTTACAAACTACAGATTCAACGCCCCGATTCCAAGTCCTCATTTTGCTTCTCAGGCCATGCCCGGGTGGGGATGGAGGTGGGTGGGGGAGAAACCCTATAACCTAGGGGGTGTGAGGGTATACACAACAGGGTACTCGCTGGATGTGGTCATAGAGACAAGGGCACACTCACGGGCTGGGCAAAGCGGTACTGGCAGGGAAATTGAGTCTGCCTCTCCGGGTCCTAAGGGTGAGAGGTGGGGTGCCCCTGGGGCCTGGGGAGGCTCTGCTAAGGGAAGGACCCTCCCCCCTGCCCCCCCAAACACGGTAGCTTGTGGGGGCAGCACTCACCCACCACCCGGAAGTGAACCGTCTGGCCGGGCGGGGGGTACACCAGCAGCTGGAGGCCCTGGACCCCGCAGTCATAGCTGTGCCGCAGACTGGAGCGCAGACTGGAGACCCCTGGCAGGAGGGGGGGCGGCTGCCCCAGCCCCAGCTCGGCCCCCAGCAGCAGGAGTACCATGCACCAAGTTCCCGCCATCACTCAAATGCCTGAACCCTCAGGAGGACCCACCCAGCCCACGGGACCGGGCTTTATAGGGGGGAGGCGGTAAGGGAAGCCACCTGGGGGACCCAGCACCCAGCCCCGAAGTTCCTCACAGCTGCAGATGGTGTTGGGATCCTGGAAGGGGTTGGGAGGAGGGATGGAGGCAGGTAGGGCTGGAGATGATGGTTGGGCTCTCCCCTATAGGAGTAGAGGTTGTGGTGGGGTGGTGGCTAGCTGGGTTAATTGGCAGCCCACCCTTCACACCCTCTGAGGCCCAGCTAAAGAGTTTATAGGGCTTCAGGTGAGGAAGAGACTTGTGGACCCCCCCACCCCCTCCAGGCCTTCTGAAGATGAAGCAATTAGTGCCAACAGCTGGTGCTTCTTTTCTTTACCCTTTTTGGCTTCGGGGCCACACCTGGCGGTGCTCAGCGCCTTCTCCGGGGTCTGTGCTTAGGGATCCCTCCTGGTGGGGTTTCGGGGACCATATGGAGTGCCGGGGATTGAACCCAGTCGACTGAGTGCAGTGCGAGCACCTTGTTCGCTTGTCTGGCCCCGACGACAGTGGTTTCTAGTAAAGAGAACACAGAAAACTACAACACCTCCCGTGCGGACCTTGCCTTGGTTTTCTTTTTAATTTTAGAATATTAATTTGCAGCGATATGTCTCAGTGGGAGCATGTATGCCTTACACGAGTGGCCCTGGATTCAATCCCTGACATCGTATACACAAAATTTTGTTTTGGATCAATATCCAATGGGTAGACCCTAAGTTCATTTAAATATAGTCTGAAAATTTTTTAGAAGATATAAAGGAAAAGACTGACTTAAACTTTTTTTTATATGCCTCCCATTTTTTTCCCCCTTATTTTATTTTATTTTTTTTTACAGTTGTAGATTTACAATTTTTTGTGCTTTGGTTTCAATTATACAATGATCAGATACCCATCCCTCCACCAGTGCCCATTTTCCACCACCATGGATAATATCCCTCCCATCCCCATCCCCCCATCCCCCCTGTCTCTGTGGCAGGGCAATCCCCTGTGTTCTCTCTCTCCTTTTGGGTGTTGTGGTCTGGAAAAGATATGCCTCCCATTTTATTTTTCAGTGACGGATTTGATTGTTAATATTATAAAATTTGGGAGTTTGGCTTGCTGAGAGCGCTTAAACTGCAGAGGCGGCAATATCAACCATGAATTATTTTTTTTTCTTTTTGGGTCACACCCAGCGATGCACAGGGGTTACTCCTGGCTCATCCACTCAGGAATTACTCCTGGCAGTGCTCAGGGGACCATATGGGATGCTGGGAATTGAACTCGGGTCGACCGCATGCAAGGCCAATACCTTACCCGCTGTGCTATCACTCCAGCCCCAATTTTTTTTTTTTTTACAGACTTACAACTTTTATGATTGCGTTTCAGTCAAACAGTGTTTGAGTACCCATCCCTCCACCAGTGCCCATTCTCCATCACCAATGTTCCCAGTATCCCTCCTCTCCTGCCCCCACCCCTCCCTCTGTGGCAGGCACATTCCCTCTTTCTCTCTCCTTTGCAACCACGAGTCAATTGTGGGCAGGGAGGGCCCATGGGAACTCTACTACTCTCCTGCTTCGTCTTTCTTTTCATCCTTTCCCCCTTTGCTGTCTTATGATCTTAGCTTCTTTTTTTTTTTTTTGCTTTTTGGGTCACACTCGGTGACACACAGGGGTCCCTCCTGGCTCTGCACTCAGGAGTTACTCCTGGCGGTGCTCAGGGGACCACATGGGATGCTGGGAATTGAACTTGGGTTGGCTGCGTGCAAGGCAAACGCCCTACCCACTGTGCTATTGCTCCAGCCCCCTCTTTTTTTTTTTTTTAATCAGGTTCCATTTATTTAGTTGGCAGAGCAGGGGGAACCCCTCCTGGCAGAGTTCCAGGGGCCAGAAGAAGCCCGAGCTCAGGTCCCAGAGCCATCTTCCTGGCTCCAGCCTCAGTTCCTTAGCTGGGAATTTTGTTTTTTTCTTTTCCCCCTCTTGCTTTTCGATAGGGCGAGGGATCAAACCCAGTGCCTCGGTAAGGCCAGCACTTGTTAGGGCGCGGATCGTGATCTCCCTTTAACGACAAAGAGACTCCAGAGACTGCAAACAGCAAGCAAGGTTTATTGTAAGACTGGCTAGCCAGGGTCAAGCCGCCTACACAGACACGCAGGTCAGTTAGGTGAGGCAAGACCCTGAACTTCTTCAAAGGGGATCTTATATAGGCCTTCACTGGCCGTTACAGCAAAGCCCGCGCATTTCATAGCCAATAGGTTTGTAACAACATATGCTTTCTTAACCAATCCATTTAACAGTACATCACTCCTTAGCCTATAGATTCAAAGATCAGCATTTACGTACATAGGCATTGTGGCTAGTGGGCATCTGGTAACTGGGACATTTGGTTATCACCTGTCTTCCTCTGATTCTCAGCCCTGCATTCCGGAGGTGGATAAGGGAAGAGTTCCTAAGGGAGGTAACAGATAAGGAGGGCAGGAAAGGGAGAGTTAAAATTTATAGAGTTTTAACTCTGGAATCTCCCTCAGGGTCCCTAGGGACCTAACATTCCTCCCTTTGAGGACCTAACATTCCTCAAACTTCATATTGAGGAATCTTTCTCAGTGGGCTCTTCATACAGAGGAGTAATTTCCTCAGTGGGCCCCAATGTCTGATACTGTTGCCGTAGGACCAAGAGTTGAACTGTATTAATTCTGTCTTTGACAAATATCACAAGATGATTTAAAAATGTAAGGGCCTATAGTTACCATAAGTAGGATAATTACCACTGGTCCAGCTAAAGCAGATAGGAGAGTGGCCATCCACAGGGATTGATTGAACCAAGACTCAAACCAATTCTCCCGGGCCTCCCTTTCTCTTCTACGTTGTTCGAGGCCTTCCCGCAGCTTGGCCATAGAATCTCCGACAACCCCAGTGTGGTCAGCGTAGAAACAGGACTCCTCTCCCAAAGTAGCGCAGAGTCCTCCATTCTTGAGGAACAATAGGTCTAACCCCCTCCTGTTCTGTAGTACGACCTCGGACAAGGAGGTCAAGGATCTTTCAAGGAGGCTAATAGACTTTTCAATGTGGTCCAAGTCCTCATCTACTGCTGCCCTGAGGGACTGCAGGCCAGAATGCTGGGTGGCCAGGGAGGCGATGCCAGTGCTTGCCCTGGCCAACCCTATTCCAAACAAGGTGGCAAGGGTCAGGGTGGTGAGGGGCTCCCTCCTAACTCGAGGATGCTCTCCAGGTTGTCCAGACCGATAGGAAATAAGAGTCTCGGCGGGGTGGTAAATGATTCTAGGCATCACCAGCACCATCAGACAGAATTCCCGAGAGGCATCAAATACTGATCCATCCAGGTGAAGAGTAAGCCCAGAGAGTGAGCACACCCACCAGGCTCCAACAGATGGCGCGACCCACACTGAGCTGTTCCAGCCCGGGTCAGGATCTGTATGGGCACATAGTCTAGCTCTCTCAGTTGGAACTGTACCTATACATCTCCCTTGGTCACTGACCTGAGTTATAGTTAAGCCAGTACTGGGGCGAGGGTCCCAACCAGCGGGGGGGGACAGAGATGCTGACATTATATGAGGCATTGACCCCGATGGCCTCATAAAAGGGAGGTGCACGGCTAAAGCATAGCCAGCATGACTCCGTCAGATTCGGGGCTGTCTTATTCAAAGACACATAAGCGGCATGCAGCAAGAGCTCCAAGGAGCTCAGGGATTGAGACTGGGGGGTGATATCCCTGGTCTGAATGGGGCTGGCAGCACTCAGTGATCGGGGTTGAAGGGTGGTACCCGTGGCTTGGCTAGGGCCAAGGGAGCCAGCATTGGCAAATGCAGAGCTTCCCAGGGAGGTCGGGGCGGGCCTAAGGCTCGTGGGGCCCAGCTTGAAACTAGGTGGCCTCAATATGGTGTTAGGCCCCACTGGAGTGGAGATTGGCCCAAAGCGGAGCAATATTTGGAATAAGACTCCCCCTCCAAGGTTTTTTGTAAGGCAAGAGGCCCCAGGTTAGCCCGTTCACCCACCTCCTATCCTTCTTTCCGGCCTCTGTGAAGGAAATTCAGATTTGGTTGGACCCCGGGACCGCTCTCCCCTGCTGAAAAGGGTGGATAAACTGCATATTGATCAGCAACTGAGCTACTGGCCACCTCCATTCCCCATCATTAGCCACTACACATTTCCGGGCGGCACAGTAAAAGCTTTCCACCCCCCCCCCCCACACTCCTGGCAGGCAGAGAACCCATTTTTCCGGAGAGCCTGTCTGTCCAGGAGCAAGGAGGTATCTCCCAGTGCCCCTTTCCTCATGTAATGTACCTTCCCTTGCTGAGGAAGGGAGTAAAAAAATACCCAGGACCTCCTCCAAGTCCACGTATAGATCTGGCCACCAGGTCCACAATGCGCTAGCCGGGTTCGTAGTCAGGTTTCATTCCTCATGGGTGTCTCTGTTTCTCAGGACCCAGGTTTGCCCGTAGGGCTGGTGAGGGCTTCCGGCTGACTGGACTGGAATGACGACCACTAGGAACACCCCTAGGAGGTAGATGCACCAACGAGTGCGCGGCTCCTGTGTCCAGAAGTACCTCGTACCAGCCTGAGCTTGAGGGGATTTGAAGGATGGTGCCGTGTGGTCCACTGAGGCTGAGGCTGTAGGGCACTTCCCCCCTCGTCTCCTGCGGTTCCTGCTCGTCGGACGTGGGAATGGTGAACCCATGGCCCGATTCCATCAACCTTCAAGGCAGTGGGGGTGGTATAAAGAACAACATAAGGACCCTTCCATCGGGGCTCCAGATTTCTAACATTGTGTCGCTTCACCCAAACTCTATCCGCTGGCACCAGTCCATGCTCCGGTCCCTCCCCCTCCCATTCGTGATATGCCTTGACCAGCGGCCATATCTGGATAGAGTCTGCAGGACTGTCAGGTAGTCCGGGTGCACAGCAACTTCCCCTGGCAGAGCCAGAGTCCTTCGCATGATGGGTGGGGGTGCCCCATAGAGGATTTCAAAAGGTGTTAACCCATGTACATAGGGAGTGTTCCTCGCTCGGAAAATCGCGAGGGGTAGGAGCGTCACCCAGTCCCCGCCAGTCTCGAGAGCCAATTTAGTCAAGGTCTCCTTCAGGGTCCGATTCATCCTCTCTACTTGCCCAGAGCTCTAGGGATTATATTCACAATGTAATTTCCAATCAGTTCCCATAGCTTGGGCTAGGCCTTGCAGGACCTTGCTAACGAAAGCCGGGCCATTGTCTGGCCCGATCGAGTCAGGGACGCCATATCGGGGTATGATGTCTTCTAGCAGGACCTTAGCTACCACCCGACTAGTCTCGTGCTTTGTTGGGAAAGCTTCCACCCAGCCCGAAAAGGTGTCTATATCAGAACTAGCAGATACCGATACCCGTACTTGCCTGGCTTAACCTCAGTAAAATCTGCCTGCCAACTCCTCCCCGGATTCCTCCCTGCTTCCCTGCAGAGGGGTATGCATGCCCCTCTGCATGGCCGGTCTCATCTGGGCATAATACAGGCATCCGTGATCTGCTGCAGGCTTGCGGTCATAGCAGGGTACACCAGGCGCACAGCCGTGAGTAGCTCCGCTAGCTTCCAGCGCCCCAGGTGAGAGGTCCGATGAATGTTGCTAGCCAGGAATTCGCCTAGCTGGTGAGGGAGAATTATGGCTCCATCCGGACTTCGGTGCCACGTCCCGGGGTCTCTAGCCGTGTCTGTGGGCCACTGTCTTTGTATCCAGTCCAGGTCTGTGGGGGAGTATTGGGGCTCGGATGGCAGTTTGGGGAGTTCTGGCCTTGGCAGGGAAAGGGTCATGGCGGGAGTGCTCTCCATAGCCGCTCTCCGGGCTTCCGTGTCTGCTCGACGATTCCCTACAGCGTCTGGGTTGTCCCCCTTTTGGTGCCAGGGACATGGATGACGGCTACCTTCCTTGGTTTGTCCACTGCCATTAAGAGACGCTGGACCTCTGCCAGATTCTTGAGCTCCTGTCCGTTAGAAGTCTGGAATCCCAGTTCTCGGTAGATGGTGCCATGGACATGCAGGGTGGCGAAGGCATAGCGGCTGTCCGTATATATGTTAACCCGCTTCCCTTCGGCGCGTTCCAAAGCTTCTGTTAGGGCCATCAGTTCGGCCTTCTGGGCTGAGGTTCCAGGGGGCAGGGCACTACTCCATACCACCACCCCTTTGTGGTCCACCACCGCCGCCCCCGCTCTTCTTACCCCTTGTAGCACAAAGCTGCTTCCGTCCGTATACCAGTTCAAGGGGCAGTTCTCCAATGGCATGTCCTTCAGATCTGGCCTTGCTTGGGAAATCTCAGCCAATATTTCAAGGCACTGGTGACTGGGCGAGACTGCATCCGGTTCGGGCAGAAGGCTGGTGGGGTTCAAGGTGGATGGGCTGGCAAAAACAATACGGGGTCTATCCAATAAAAGTCCTTGATATTGGGTGAGGCGGGCATTGGTCATCCATTTTCCCGGGGGCTGTTTCAGGACTCCTTCAATCGGGTGCGGAGTATCTATGTGGAGCTCCTGCCCAAAAGTCAGCTTGTCAGCCTCTCTGACCAAGAGGGCTATTGCTTCAATTACCCTGAGACACCCAGCCACAACCGCATCTAGCCGCTTTGAGAGGTAGGCCACTGGCCTTCGCCAAGGGCCCAGCTTCTGCGTCAGTACCCCTTTGGCTATCCCTTTCCTTTTGTCCACATAGATGGTAAATGGCTTGGAAGGGTCAGGCAGGGCTAGGGCCGGGGCCTGCAATAACGCAACTCGGAGACGTTCAAAAGCGGCCTGGTGACTCTCTGTCCATTCCCAATCCCGAGTCTCTTTGGTGGCCTCATACAGGGGTTTTGCAGTCTCAGCAAAATTGGGGATCCAGAGTCTACAGTATCCAGCCGACCCTAGAAACTCCCTCACTTTCCTTGCAGAGGTTGGGGTGGGGATATGGAGGACGGTCTGCTTCATTTCCTCTGTTAACCATCGCGCCCCTCCTTCTAGCTGATAGCCCAAGTCCTAACAGCGCTGTACTCCTGAGTCGGACTTGCTGCCTTTCAACCCAGAACAAGTCTAAGAAAGTCCATGGAAAGAAAGAGCAGGGCAGGGGTGATTGTGGGGGGGGCGGGGTGAAGCTTGGGCAGAGTGTTAGCACCTGGCCCTCTGGTGGGAGGTCCTGGGCCCCATTTCTGACCTTCACAGACACACATTTGCACAGGCATGTGTGTGTGTGTGTGTGTGTGTGTGCGCGCCTGTGCGTTCGCACGCGCGTGTGTGTGTTGCTCAGGGCCCCCTGCCATCTTACTGTATCAGCAGCATCTCCTGTCCCCTGATGGAGGGGCGACACCCTCATTTCCTGCAGCCTCTGGTCCTGGTCTGTGCAGTGAGCAGTTTGCTGTGACTCAGAGCGGTAGGAGGGAAAGGGGTGTGTGGCAGGGGCTCCCTGGGTCGGACTTCAATCCAGCCCCCCAGTGCTGCCAAGCTGTGATCGGTCCGGAACCCAAGGTCAACTCGGGGCACAGTCAATAAGCCAGAGGGAAGTTTTGCTGCCAGCAAAACAGGTTTATTCAGGTGCCAGCAACCTGGGAAGTCGGGTAGATAGATGGCCTAGAACCTTCTACCGCCAGGTGGAGGCGGCTTTACAATGTGGTTATGGGAAAATGCGTCAGGACAAAAATTAAGGAGTGGGTTTTGGGAAGCAGGGGGTCCTGTCTGGAGGTTGCCCGGCTGAAGCCAGAGGTTTAATAGGTCACTGCAAGCAGGGGCTGGTGGTCTGTTCCTTGGAAAGCTTGGAGATAACTTCATTAAGGAGCATCTGCCTCTGTCTTCTCCATGGCAGGGATCACTCTGGAAGGCCTGTTTGCTGTCTTCCATCCGCCCAGGCCTGGGGACCCTGCACAGCAGACACCCAGGACCTGGCAGCATCCCCGTGCCTTGGTAGGGGTGATGAGGACGTTGTCAGGAGAACAGTCGCAGAGAATAAGATGGAGCCACTTGTGCTCAGTTACCTGGGACCCAGTTTTCATTGGGTGGCCAGGGGGCGATCAGGCTTATTCACAGGAGGCCGTCCTGAGAGACAGGATCAACTGTGGAGAGATCTCTGGAAGGCTCAGGGGAGGGTCTTGGTGCAAGGAAGGGGAAGAGACCCCAACCTAGGGGTGGGGCCCTGTTTCTAGGAGGGTGCAGGGGTGGGGTGCTGGGAGTGTCGCACTGAGCAGAGGAAGTGACCTGGAGCTGTCCTCAAACAGTGGGCTTCAAGGCAGCTGGGATGGAGGTGGTGTGAGGAAACAGGATGAATGGGGGAGGGGCACTTGTTTTCTGAGGGACAGTGGGAATTTTTGTTGTTGTTGTTGTTTTGCTTTTCGGGTTACACCTGGAGATGCTCAGGGGTTGCTCCTGGCTCTGCACTCAGGAATTACTCCTGGTGGTGCTCGGGGGACCATATGGGATGCTGGGAATTGAACCCAGATGGGTCGAATGCAAGACAGATGTCCTATCTGCTGTGCTATCACTCCAGCCTCGACAATGGGAGTTTTTTAACTTCTTTTTCAGCACCATTTTATTTATCTATTTTTTGTTTAGGGGCCACACATAACAGTGCTCAGGGGTTACTCCTGGCAGTGGTCAGGGGACCATATAGGATGCCGGGGATTGAACCTGGGTCGGCTTCATGTAATGTATTGTCACTCTGACCCAGTTTTGGTCTCCTTTTATTTTATTTTATTATTTTTTTCTTTTTTGCCTTTTTGGATCGCATCCAGCAATGCCCAGGGTTTACTCCTGGCTCTGCACTCAGGAATTACCCTTGGAGGTGCTCAGGGGACCCTATGGGATGCTGGGAATCGAACTTGCGTCGACTGCGTGCAAGGCAAATGCCCTACTCGCTGTGCTATTGCTCCAGCCCCTCGGCATCATTTTAGATGGACTAAAAAGAAGTTCCATCTACTCTCTCCCAGACCCCTCAACTATCAACTTTTCCCACTTGCTGGAGCTCGCCCTGCACACACACACACACACACACACACACACACACACACACACACACACACACCCCTCTTGTACCGTTTTGGAGTTGTCTGCAAATATGATTGGTTCTCCCTTTGCCTGAAGCACCCTTGCTTCAGGTAAGCCCCCTGGCACAGCGCCCCATCCCAGGCAGGTCACACCAGGACTCTGGTCCCCAAGCTGAACTTGGTCCACCTCTTTGGACGCTGTACAAGGGAGATAGCTTTTCCAGTAGCAGGCTCCAAACCAAGGTCTGGGGCTCCCAGACCTCTGTCTGGTTGTGGCATCATCATCCCTCTCTCTGTGGCTTTCACACCTTTGGCATTTCTGAGACAGGCAGGCAGAGGAGCCTGATCTGGCTGTGTGTGCTTGTTGTCCAGGTGGCCAGGCCACATTTCCCCCAGATGGAAGCATCTAGATCAAAGAGTCTGCACATCTCAGGTTTCTTATGAGCTCTGCTTTGTTGCCTTTGTCCCCATCCTTGGGGATAACACGTCCTCACAGGTCTCACCCAGTTGCATAGTCATATTCTTGTGTGTGTGTGTGTGTGTGTATGTGTGTGTCTGTGTGTGTGAGTGTATGTGTGGGGGTGGGTCACAGTGGTGCTCAGGGATCACGCCTGGTGGGGTTTGGAGGACCATATGGGATGCTGGGGATTAAACCCAGGTTAACTGTGTGCAAGGCAAGTGCACTACTTCCTGCACTATGGTTCTGGGCCCCCAGAGTCACATTCTGATGTGACCAGAGACAGGAATCCCCTCCCCGCCCGTCTGCCCTCCAAAGTGCTCTGTGCCCTTCCTGGTGGCTGCATCTCTCAGGAGGGACCTAAGGATCCATCAGCGGCGTGGTTAGAGGACTGGATTCTCAGTGCCACCCTCTCCTGACATCTGAGAAGGGCTGGAGCATGTGCTCAGTCCCTAGTGATGCCTGATTTCAACCGTCATGTATCCGGAAGTATCAGCGCGACCCCCACCCCTCCGGGTTGGAGTTCAGAGCATGCTGGTTTTCTATCATAAGTAGATTCGGATGAATAGCAGCTGTGAGCTTCTTCGCACATAACTAAACACTGTCAGAACTGAGTCCCAGGGGAATGGCTAGGCCAGAAATCACCCTACACATAGCCCAAAGGGCCAAAGCAGATTTGAAAGCTGTCAACAGATTGACACTCTCTCAAAAACCCCAGCTGTGGTTCTTCCCTCTAGGGTGAGGAGTGGTGGTGGTGGTGGTTGGGGCGGGGGGGGGGGGGGGGCGGGTGGTGCTGAGCTGTTGGTTGTAGAGATGCTTCTAGCAACCAGTGGAACTTCTTTTCTTTTTGGTTACATCTGGTGGTGCTCAGGGATCACTGGGATCACTCCTGGTGGGCTTTAGGGAACCATGTGGGATTCCAGGGATTGAACCTGGGTCTGCTATGTCTGAGGCAAGTGCCTTCCCCGCTGTTTGGTCTCCCCAGCCCCTGTGGAACATCCTAACAACAGATACTGGGGAGCCGGGATGAGTCTGTTCTCTTCATTGATTCACACAAGGACATGTGGACCCTGCCCACTGGAAGTCCCGCCCCCAACAGAGGCGACCCACCAATCAGAGGCTCCCAGGATAGGGCCGGCTGCAGACCGGTCCTTGATGCTGGTGCCAGCATCCTCGGCCCTGCCGGCTTCCTCCTGCGGCCTAAGCCAGTTACTTCCATTGCGATTGTGGTGGTAGCGGGTGTGGATGCAAAGATGGGATCCACCGTGACTCCATGTTCTAAGCCATGGCAAAAGTTGCAGGGCCGTGGGACCAGTACCCAGGGTGGGCACCTTTTTTTCTGCAGGTTTGGTGGGTCAGGCGTGGGCAGGTGTGGGACTGCCCACCCATCCTTCCTCTCCTTCCAGAGAAGCTGGGCACGGCGGGCACCTGATTCCCTCCGTCCCTCGGCTCAGACTCCCTGGGGGTCCCTCACTGCTACTTTATCCCTTTCCCAGGAAGACCTGGCACGTGGAACACAGCACCCGCCTCGCCCACCTTGGCATCAGCTCCCCACTGGCGGCCAGAGCAGCAGGGATGACGCCGGAAAGGCTGCCTGGGCTCGGGGTGGAGCCTCAGGTTTTCATTCACGCTGCACCTCGCTCCCCGCTGGGCCCAGGTACCCACGTGCCCTGTTACCCTGGCTCTGCCTTCTCTGAGATGTCTACACCAGCACTTTGGGCCTCTCTGGGAACCTGCCAGAGATTCCCCAGCCCCTGCCAGCTGTTCCCGAGCTCCTGGCAGCCCCTTTGCTGACTGACTCGTGATCAGACCAGATGCACGTG